GGGTGGCGGGGGTAGTGTCTCAGGACTGTGCTTAGCTCATGAGTTGACAGCAGGCCGTGCCCTAACTCACAGCCACGGATGACCGCAGGACGTGTTTGTTGTCCAGTCCTGGTCTGCATCATTACTATCAACGGGCTGACGTCCACTGCTCGGCTCCCCTTACTTACTCTGCTGGTGGTCACTCGTTTTAGTCTGGGAAACACCTGCCTGTGAGCCTGGCCCTAGACGCCCTCTGTTCTAGAATCTCCCGTAAAGAGGCTGTGTATCCTCGCCCCCACACTGGGCAGAGGCTGCCGTCTCTCTGGGCCCCACCATCCTGGGTGTCAGCTCTAGCAGCAGAGAGAAGGAAAGCAGAGCTGAGAATGAAGTGCTGTCACGTGGCACCACAGCAGCCATGCCAGCGGGACAGGCACGAACATCGCTGGATGGGCACCGCCATCCTCGGGACGGGCACCGCCATCCTCGGGACGGGCACCACCATCGCAGGACAGGCCTTACCTCTCTGAACTTGTGGTAGAGGCGGTCGCTCTGGTGGGCTCCCACGGTGATCTCGGGAAGATAGATGGGGATGGTGGTGAAGTGGATCACCTTGGATTTGTCCTGAACCCTGGGACACAGCAGGGAAGGAAAGCACTGGGTCACTTTCCGCTGGGTGCAGCCCAGAACCCATGGGACCATCTCCTCAAGGCTCTGCTTCGGAAACCAGCAAATCCATCTACATGTCTTTTCAACCCCGGAAGTGCAGGCCTGGAATGAACCCACGAGCAGCATTCCCAAGCACTGGCCGCTCCACACGGCCCCAGGGGAGCAGACGAAGGTGGTCATCGGTGCCTCGTGGTTATGCCCACGTGCTCTGCCCTGCACAGCAGTCGCGGTGGCTGATGTCCATGCAGAACTTGGGGATCCCCAGGGACATGCCATGGTGACTGCCTGTGGTGGCACCGCTTTCCAGAAGTCCAGTTCCCCTTTCCTGGGCACCAACACACACGAGTCTCCAGGTTCCCAATACTGCCCTGCGAACGGCTTACATTAAATGGAGCCCACTGTAACTACTACACTCATAGACGGGAAGTGTTTCAAAGACACACAGATCCTCCACCTGCAAGGTTCAGACAGACAACAGTGATATTAAAGGGTTACACCCTTCCTAATGAACAACGTCAGAGAGGTCCTGGGAGACGTGGGGGCTCCACAGATGCCGAGGACGAGCCCCAGAGAACAGTCGACAGTCCAAGGCCTGAGAAAGGGACCAAACCCACTGTCCTCACGCCACGCTGACACCTTCCCTGGAGGACAGCCCAGCTCCTTGCCAGGAGTGGCTGGTGGATCCACTCTGCTGATCTGTTCCCCAGTCAGCATATCACCCACCACGTCACCAGGGCTCCTTCTAAGAACCTGAGTGGCGGTGGGTGAGGGGAAGTCCCTTCAGTGAGCACACAGCCCAAAGGGCACTCATGGGAGAGGCCGCCAGGACAGTCTGCTGTCTCTTCAGCGTGCCTCCCCCCACCCCGCCACACGAGGGGCCACTGCAGACAGAACACAAGCTGCATGGCAGGTCGTCTAAGCTCAATGATGACACCAAGAGTGTCTCACCTGCCGAGAGCAAGCCTGAGGCAAGGGGAGGGTGCAGGCCAGGAGAACCTGCCTGCTGTGGTGGCCGCAGTGTCATGCGGGGGTCCAAGAGAACGCCACGCAAAACCCGGTCAAGCCCAGCACCTCGACTCAATGAGACCAAAGGGGCATGGCAGGCCTGCCCTGGAGGGACAAGGTAGACCCTCCCTTGGGGAGTAGGGAGCATCACAGACCTGCCCCAGGGGGGTAGGGGGCACCACACACCTGCCAGAGAGGAGGGGACACAACAGACCTGCCCTGGGGAGTGAGACAGGTAGGGGGCACGGCAGACGTGCCTAGACAGGCCTCCCCAACAGTAAACTGTCACCATGCAGAGGGCCTCATGGTCCTCCCCCATGACCTTCTGTTAAGAGCCTGGCACGTGACCACCGTGGCACCAGGGTGCACACCATCCACGCAGGAGTCAAGGATGGCCCAGTGCCGTCCACTCAAGCCCAGCACAACGTGTCCTCCCACACCAGACACGGTCCTTGAAGGCGTTTCCACAGTAAGTATGCTGCAGGCTAAGCAAAGTCGGCACTTGAAAGGTTAAATCCAAGGCAGAGGGAGTGTGTTTTCTTTATCTGATCATTAGAAACCCCCAGAAAGTGCTGGACAGCTGTCCCCATGGGCAGACCCATCCTTTCCATGAGCGGGGCCCAATGCCCGCAGCCTCAGAAAGGTCCTGCTCGCTCTGCAGGACACCCCGCATCCACAGCGCTCAGGAACTGCAAGCAGCGGCCAGCTCAGGGGCAGCCAGGGCAGGTGTGGACAGCCCTTCCCACAGACAGTGCCCTCGGCCGGCCCAGGAGGACCAGACACTGCCTGGAGGCTCCGGCCCTTTAAGAGCCTCACTCAGGCTGCACTGCCATCCACTTTGGACACGAGATTTCAGGTCACAGTGTCGCCCAGCACAGAGACAGGACAAGACAGCAATGCGAACCCACGACCTTGTCTCAGGAGATGCGATGTGCGTCCTAATTTACACACGTGCATCCTCTGGAAACATGGCTAAAGCACTTTTCAGCTTCTCCTAAATCACTCAGTCCTGCTGGGGCTCTCCTCGTCTGATCCCCGAATCACAGGCCTGGGATCCTCGCGGCTGGGATGTCTCATCCGAATGAGAGCGACGAGCCGAAGTCAGCGTGAGGGCGCGAGAGGGGGCGTGAGGGGTCATCAGGAGACAGGCCGTCAGGAGGAGCAGCCCAGGGAGTGGAGCAAGGGGTGGACTGTGAGTGTGAATGAAAACGCCATCAGGGTGAGGGAGGGGTCTTTCTATTCATGCGCAGGTGCCACTCACGGGGTCCCAGCACGTTCTAGACCCACAACATGCCTCGTGCTGGGTAAGATGGACACTGACGGCCTCTGCAGCCCCAGGCCGCGACCTCCTGAGTGTCACTCCTAGGAGAGCATGGGGCACCTAGACTGCACGTGCAGGTGGGAGGCAGGGTGCAGGGCAGTCCCCGGGGTGTGTGTGTGTGTGTGTGTGAGAGAGAGACAGACAGACAGGATCTGGTCTCATACCACCGTGTAACCAAGTGTAAGTGGTGTGTGTGTTTGTGTGTGCCGGCAGGCGGGAGGCAGGGTGCAGGGCAGTTCAGGGACAAGAAGCCCGGGTGTGTGTGTGTGTTAGTTAGTGAAAGGATCTGGTCTCATAACCAGTGTGTGTGCGTTTGTGTGTGTGTGTGTGTGTGTGTGTGAGAGAGAGAGAGAGAGAGAGACAGACAGACAGACAGGATCTGGTCTCATAACCACCGTGTAACCAAGTAACTACCGACCAGAACGCCCCCGGCCAGGCTGCCGAGTTCACGCCAGCTCTTGACGAGCCTCCGCAGGGCTTCAGATGCTGTAAATCCTCATCGGAGGAGACAGTCCATCTACCTCCTCTGCAAGGTCTGGTGGATTCAAACCTCTGATCTTGTGGTTAGTGGACCACCATGTGCCGTATGTAGCACCAGAACTCCCTGAAGCAGCCACCGAGGTCAGTTGATCTGGACACACTCTGGAATCAGCAGCGCACACACTACAGTGTGTTTACAGTGGACGCTGCACTAGCACAGGCCAGGGCCGGAGGGTGCACTGGTCCAGGGCCCGCCCCCACTCATCAGCCAGAACACAGCCCCTCTCACGGTGCTTCACACCCTGCCCGGAGGGAGTGGGTCAGAGACATCACATGCACGTCACCTGGAGGGGCCGAGGCCAACCTGCCGAAGGCTGCCTGAGGCTGGAGGTGCGCCTGGTTCCAGGAAGGGGCATCCGACTGAGCACAGGCGTGGGATAGGAGAGAGGGATGGGGACGCAGTAAACCAGGAAATGAGGGCTGTGTGGATGACCAGCAGCAGACACTGAGGGCCACCAAGGTCACCGTGCCAGTGATGATGACCGGCTGGGCGGGTGCAGGAACCAGGACGGGGCAAAGGCAGAGAGGTCACAGGAGGAGCACTGATCTCCACCGTGAGGCCCAGGCCTCACGCAGGGATGGAGGCCGGAAGGGAGCGGACAGTCTGGAGGGGGTGCGTTCTTTAAACGATGATGGGAGGGCAGGGGGGCTGGATGAGCTGAGAACAAGCCCCGGGCAGGGCTGTGAGAGAGGCAGGCGCTGCAGTCGCAGAGGGCGGACCACGTCCACCTGCTCACGTGACAGGAGAGGAGGGTGGGCTGTCCCGGGGTGAGAGCATCGGAGGTCAGGTGCTGCCCACTCACAGGCCCCCTCCCCACCATGTCTGTCACTTCATGTCAGAGCACAGCTGCCCCGGAGGCTCTTCCTGGTGCCAGTGTCACAGAAGCAGCCAGGCAGGTCTTTCTTCCACAGCACCTCTGGTCAGTCCAATCCACTAATCCCTAGACCAGTGACGGAGAGCACATTGCTCAGGCCACAGATGGTCGTGTGAAAACCTCTGGCCAGAGGGACCCTATTCAGTGTGACATGACGACAGAGTCAGGGGCCTCCAAGCTACTCTCCCCACCTGTAAAGGGAGCAGGGGCGTGCAGGCTTGAGAACCTGGACACCCTTCCCAGCCCAGTGCCGACCTGCCTGTCACGTGTGACTAGCGAGTCAAACACCGTGAGCGAGCTCTGGGCAGCAGGACGTCTCCCAGCAGTGGGGGTGTGTAGTGTCAAAATTCAGAATGTTGTAAGAAGCCTTCAAGTTACTCACAGCCACTCTACGAACAGCCGGTCTGAACGCAGATCTACACACTAGAGCCCACTGCTGAAGTTCAGAACGACAGGGAACAGTATACTGTTTCTGTACATTTACAAATAAAATCCCTTTGCAGATAAGAGTTAGCAAAAGAGTCTGATGATGATTTCCGGAGCCAGCTACACAGGGTGACCAGGTAGGAAGGCGTCACATCCGTCCTCACAGCACCACATGGGAAAGATTCAAACTAGGATACTGCAGTGACCCAAGTTCAAGCATGACAACGAAGCCACAGGGCGGAGGGAGATGCCAGAACCCCACTTCACACCAGGAGCACCAAGGGGCACGAGAATGTGTACTGGGAGGGACAGCAGCTCCCCAAAATACCTGATCAACAGAGATCACTGGTATGCTTTGAAAGGCAACAAAATCACAGAGGATGTGAAAAGACAACACAAAAGGAAAACATGCCGCAAACACAGGAGGGCCACCAACCTGGTTGAGAACAGTCCAAATGCTTCAAAACCAGCTCTGAAGGCCCAGAGACACAGCCACCGCAGCAGGGCGGCAGGGCAGCAGGGCTGATAACAAGTGCAGCCTAGCTGCAGGCTTCAAATACAAAATGCAGACAGGCTCAAGGTGCGGAGACAGAGACGGAGAACCCACGTCTGCGGGCATTCAAAGCTGGACAAGCTGTGTCCGAGCAGTCCTCACCACGTGCACCTAACAAGACACACCCAAGTGACCAGGCAGAACTGGTGGAACTGGAGCAAGGGACAAGCCCTCCGTCACAGCAGAGGTCGCTGGCAGCTTGTGGCTAACAGACCAGCCGACAGAAGTCTGCAAGGACGCAGATGAGCACAGCCGCCCAGCTCCGGGGACCGGACCTGACGGTGCTGAAGGATTCCTCCTCACATCAAAGTGCACGCCACCTTCTCACAGCTCACACAGAACCAGCACCGAGGCAGAAACGTGCTGGCTCTACAGACACACGTTTCGAATTAAAAAAACCACCCCAAAACCTTTCTGCATACATATACGTACGTGTACAGGTGTACGTGTATACACAGCCACAGTCTGCTTGCAGACCACAATGTGACAGACTAGAAATTAAGAACAGAATGACATCTGGAAGTCCCTGAATGTTTGGAAATCAAGCCCCAGCCCCGGGATCAGAGAAGTCTCAGCAGAGTATTTAGAGGTTTGGATCTTCGTGAAAACACAACGGGAGCTCCATGAGATGCGGGAGACAGTCCTCAGGGGGCAGCCCCAGCGCTTGATGCCTACTTTACATGGAGGTCGTTTTCTGAACGAGAACAGAGTCAAGTGGGGTGGGGACAGAGGCAGTCCACATTAAGTCCATCCATTTCAGTGGCGTCATTTCTATTCAGAAGACACGAGGAATGTCCACAAGAGTCACAAGGGTGTTGTTAGGTGCCACTGAGTCAAGTATGACCCGTGGCGAGCCGGGAATAACACATCTGAACCGTCCTACCCCGTGTCGTCTTCCCACTTCCCAACACACGGGAGGGAGCCCTCTGCAGCAGTCACCCATCAATCCACCGGCCAAGGGTCGTCCTCTCCTTCGGCACAACATCCTCACCTGGGTCAGACTAACAGACGGCTTCTCCTTTGAATCAGGTGAAAAGGAGGCCAGTGCTAGTCCTTCCTGAGGGCACCCTCCTGGCCACCGGCCCCCACAGGGTCTCCCCTTCTCTCTCCTCCAGCCACACTGGCTTGTCCACTGGAGACCCCTAACACAGTTTTGATTCTTTCTTTACACTCAGCCTCACTCCCCAACTAAAACTTGTCTTCTACAAGAGCAATTTTGTTTTATTTGATGCCTATTTTCTGGTGGTCTAGCGGCTAAGAACTTGGGCTGCCAGCCCAAAAGCATGTGGTTCAAATCCACCAGGTGTTCCAAGGCAGACAGCTGGGCACTCTCCTCTCCACTGGAGGGTCAGCCGTGAGTCAGTTCCCACTTCAGGCCTGACACACAGACGAGGCAAAACAACAGATCTCCAAGAAGCTCACACACTCAAGGCTGTCAGCGTGGGCCGATCTGGGAGTCCAAGGAGACGCACCTGTGTCCACTGCTCGGTGCTTAGAGGTTTCCAAGTGGAAACACGATTCCCTTAGAAACCTCTTCAGTGCCCACCACAGCGAGGGGAGCGGCATGCGGCACCCAACCACCCGGGACCCCAGCAGCCCCGTGCCAGCAGCTCCCCAAGGGCAGCACTCACAGCATGCGCAGGTTGTGGAATGCCAGGTCGTCCTGCTGCGGCCAAGGCCCCTTCTCAAACTGCAGGTACTCGATGTCCTCCACCACCTGGACAGGACAGCACAGCTCACGTCAGCAGTCTCATTCCAGACGCACACATCAAGAGACCTCCTACTAGACTCCAAACTCCCAACTCTGTGGTGGCAACAAGCACCCCGGAGAGTCAGAGAGACAAGCAGAGGGGTCTTTAGTGAAAATGCGGGCATGTTCACCATCAACAAGCTGGGACACCAGGACCCCCAAGTGACAGGAGGAGGCAGCAAGAGCAGAGGAAAGGACAGAAGGAGGGACAGTCGGAGTCCTCCACAGGGCTCCTCCCCACCTCCCTCAGCCAAGCCAGCCCTGCGTCCTCCACTGGGTCCTCCCCCGGCTGCTCCACATCCTCCACTAGGTGCTCCCCCACTCCATCAGCCCCTCCAATCCCAAACCAGACCCAGACCTGTGTGTGTCTCGATGTGCTCAGCTTTCTGGGTGTCTATTTTAGTGATGTTTACAATTTCTATGAAAGTGCAATGCTCCACACCACGCTCTAGCATCGAGCTGAGGCTCACGCACAGTAGCCTGCCGTCGGGTTCCCACACCACACGCAGGGGAGACCACCATGTTCCTTCCACAGATCAGCCAGAGGCGCACAGCATTCGGGGCACGTGTGGACTACAGAACCAGAGCTTGATCTAACAGGAGTTCTCACACGCATGTACGCACGACACACACACACACACACACACACACACGCATCATCTGTTTAATAAATGGTTGACGGCCTCACACTTCTAAAAACAACTCACTTTTATCTGCGTCATTTTTCATCATCCTTGACAAAGCCCTATGTTACCGACGCCTCTCCCTCCCCACCTTGCTCACACGCTCACATGTACACGCTTCCAGACCATTCTGGACCAGACCCGCCCTGTGTGAAGATGACCCCGTGGAGGGTGGTGTGGCATGTCCTTCGGGACACAAAACCCAGCTATTTCCACGACCACGAGTCCACTCATCTGACTGGCCCGGGGGCCGGCCTCCCTCACCTTTTCCGCATCCTGAGCTTCCCGTGCGCTGTACTGCAGAACCTCGCACTTCTCACTGCAAGGAGAAGGTGAAGGTCAGGGTTAAGGAGCACACGGCAGCGACCTCCATGTGGAGCAGCGTCACCTCCGCCCTGAACAGTTTGAGGCGCCGGTGGAAACACTAGAACCAGAAAACTCAACAGTGAAGTGAGGTCAGCAATGGTTGCTCCCTGACCACTACGGCACCAGAGACCAGTCACCAGTGTCTGCGGGGAGAGGGACGAGGGACATGTCCAGCTGCCACCTGTCTGCACCTTTACTTTTACAGCAGGTCTCCTGCAGGCTATGATCGAGGATCTGCAATGTCTCCGACTTTATCAACTCGACAGCAGCAGGAATGGGTTTCTGGGAAGACACTGCCTATCCTTACCGAACCGCCCTGCTGCACAGCAAGTGGGCCCGCGTCAGCCATGGGCAGCCGTGAGGGCTCGGCGGCCATCGGGAGGACATGGGCTCTTGTCAACGGGCCCAAGTCAGCCACAAGCAGCCTGAGGGCCCAGAGGCTCCAGAGGAGGACACGGGCTCTTGTCAATGAAGAGGCAACAGGGACACCACCTGGGTGACTTCTAGCAGCAAACCCTTAAAGCAGCCAACAAGCTGTGGGTGGGGACAGTCTAGTACACTAGTCTAGCACGCTGCTATACTCTGAAAATGCCACCACAGGGCCACCTAAACACCCGCCTCACCCCAGGCCACTACACCGACCGGCCTCCCCCCAGCATCATGCCATTTTCACCAAGCGGTCCAGGGATGCCCACTCCACGGAGCAGCGGAGCTCCTACGAGCCACTGCCCAACACAAATGGAGAGAAGACCACAGCCCGGGAACTGGTGGGGCCCCGGCCCTGGACTGCTGCAGGACCCACCTCCTGAGCCTGTGGAAAAGGTTCTGGGTCCCTCTGCGTTCTCCCCTGCACCCTAAGACGAATACTGATGCCAAGACTGAGGAGGAAACAGGCACGTGAAGCCCTCTTAGTTGCTCAGAGCACACAGAGGCCACGCAAACAGAAGCCGACTCAGATGTACACAGCAAAGGGCATGATAGTGTCAAAGTCCTCCTGCAACACTGATGCTAAGCTCTCCATGAGGTTTAATTAAAAAAAACCCAAATCCAACAAAACAACTAAAACAGTATTAACAAAAAAGAAAGCCAAGCAAACCACAACTCAAAACCAAACAACTGTCACGCTTGCTCACGTATGTCCAACTGGGACAGCCCAACTTCACTGTAGGACACAGGAGGGCACCCCTAGGAAGTGGGCACAGGACAGACCCCTACACACACATGCACCCCCCCAGACGACTTGAGAAGAAACCCCCAGGCAGTGGGCACAGGACAGCACCCCTGCACATGTGCACAAACCCCCACTCTCACAGGACATAAGAGGGCACTCGGTTCTAGGCAGTGGGCACAGGACAGCACGTGTGTACACCCACAAACACATATACACATCCGTGAAGACACCACGTCTCCACTGGTACTCCTCTAAAGTCCCTCACTCTGTTAAGAAAAGTGTCTCTCTCTCTCTCTTAGACACACACGGACACACACACACACACACACACACACACGCACACACACACGCACACGAACACTAAGCCTGCACTGCCTCCCTCTTCTGTGAACGTGTATGCTTGTTCGGTCACTCTCACACACAAACAGCCCAGCACACTAAGCCTGCACTGTCCCTGTTCTGAGAAGGTGCGGT